CTATCGATGGATCTGTCGGATTTGGATTTAAAGTTAAACAACAAATGTTCCTGAAATTGCTTTATATTCTCTCCAGATACTATATTTTATGACAATTCCGCAGATTTTAGTATGTGCTTTGGTGGCGGTGGTTGCCGCAGCCCCAGACCACTACGGACCACCTCAGACCGCCTTCTATGGCTTTCCCAGTCCAGTCATTCCCATCCTGAAGGACGAGCGAGAGGGACCTGATGCGTCTGGAGTGTACAGCTTCGAGTTCGAGACCGGCAATGGCATCAAGCGAGAGGAACAAGGTGCCCCTCGAGGACCATCTGGCGCAGTGGCCATGCAAGGAGGATGGTCGTGAGTACAATGCATGACTGCTTTTGGTACATCTGCTTTCGTCAGTGAGGCGTCTGCTTTTGTATTCAATTGAACAAAAATGCTCCCTAATATAGAATTTAACGAATTCTATATATCTCATGTTCACTTTTGATAATTTAGTGTTTGATTTGCGTTCAGCTTCACCTTCCCCGATGGCTCTCCCGCCGACGTGACCTTCGTCGCCGACGACGCTGGTTTCCGCGTGGAGTCCGACCTGCTGCCCACGCCCCACCCCCTCCCCGCCCACGCCATCGCCCAGATCGAGAAGGCTCGTCGGGAGGACGCAGCTGCTGCCGCTCTGAGCGGGCGTTACTCCGCCCCTCGGACTAGCTATGGATACCCTTAATAGGATCTTTAAATACGAATAGGATTTTAATGTATTGTGTAAATAAAAATGGAATAAAAAAAAGCAACAGTTTATATCTATTTTATTGGAGCAATTTATACTTCCACTATAATACATTTCATGTGCGATATCAAATGATGAAGAAATCTTTCGTATTCACACACGTCTACATTATCGGTGTAAAGAAGGGAAAGTGAATATATGATTGCGATTGCTCTAAACCATCTTTTAGTTTTAGTTGAATAGGTAACTCAGGGGAAAACAATAAAAAAGAAAACTCTCACACACGTACACATACATAATATATATATTTATATATTCATATATACATACACACACAGTAACGGATGCACAAAAATGAAATTAAAACAAATACAAAATAAAATGTTTGTTTAAATACTCTCGAGTTCCTCTTCAGACGAATTAGAGTAAATGGATACAATTAATTTATCGTCTATCTTGTTAACGTGGTGAACTTTATTCCGTAAATGAATGAAACATGCATTGGATTCTGCGGCGTACAGATCACGGTTATGCTCATTGTTGTAATTAACTTTGTTAATTTCAAAAGCTCTACCGGTTTCGCCAATGTAAAATTTCGGGCAGTCCTTATAAGGAATCATGAAATAGAACATTGACACAGTCCTGTCGTGTGTTACAGGAATTATTTTATAATTTCTTTTCCGCATATCAATGTTCCTGATATTGAACAAAAAATGAGGATATCCTAATTTCGAAAATGTCAAAAAAATAATAATAATAATAACGTAGATGCCCTAAGGAATATATAACGGGTGATTCGAAAAAAATGAAGATAATAAGCGGTTTGGGTTCGCTTTCGGTAAACTTATAATGTAAGCGAGCCATTTATATTCAATAAAAGAACGTCGATAGTAGGTAATTTACCTGAATCTACCCAGTCTACTTTAAAATAGTAGAAGAGGTTATTTAGTCATTGGGAGAAAATCAGAAATGCTACCGGTTCATTTGCCGAACAGAAAAAATATCAACATAACGAAACCAAATCGTGGCTGGAGGGAGGATAGACGGAGGGACTTCAGATTCAATCTCCTTGAATCAATTCGCAAGAACCGGGCTAAGGCTTCCTCCCATCACAATACCATCAGTTGATTTGCTTTTGAATTATATGTGTATGTGTGTTTATATATCCATATAAATGTATACGAGGATATGTACGTATGTGTGTGTGTGTGTGTGTACACTTATGTTTGTGTACGTTTGTGTGGAGAGCGAGTGAGAGCGGGAAAGAGCAGGAGGGGGAGGGGGGGGGGATACCGATTGATAGAAAGAGATCGACAGAGAAATGTATTTCATATGCATGCTGTGTGCTAAGTTTTCGAAGGGGTGTGTATGACCACAAACTAAGGTTGACGTTTCCTTAGTTGGATGCTTATTTGAATCCTTATTGACATTTGACACGATGAGGGTTGTCTATAAAGGTTGCAGGGTTTCTCTTTATAGAATTTGAAAAAAATAGGTAAATTAACAGAATTTCCTTGATATATTGTAAAATAATAATAATAATTTTAAAAAAAATGAAAGAAGCATTGAAAGGCGCACGAAGTGTGGAGTCTCACCTTGACAAAGCCAGGAAGTCCGTTAGGCAAATGGAGTCCACTGGTATATAACTGGAGCGGTGCCACACTCACACACAATAATCCGAACCCTTTCGACATGTTCTCAGTAAGCTCCCAGACAATGCATAACTTTACTTGATGGATCTATCGGATTTGGATTTAAAAGTAGTTAAACAACAAAAGTTCCTGAAATTGCTTTATATCCTCTCCAGATGCTATATTTTATGACAATTCCGCAGATTTTAGTATGTGCTTTGGTGGCGGTGGTTGCCGCAGCCCCAGACCACTACGGACCACCTCAGACCGGCTTCTATGGCTTTCCCAGTCCAGTCATTCCCATCCTGAAGGACGAGCGAGAGGGACCTGATGCGTCTGGAGTGTACAGCTTCGAGTTCGAGACCGGCAATGGCATCAAGCGAGAGGAACAAGGTGCCCCTCGAGGACCATCTGGCGCAGTGGCCATGCAAGGAGGATGGTCGTGAGTACAATGCATGACTGGTTTTGGGACATCTGCTTTCGTCAGTGAGGCGTCTGCTTTTGTATTAAATTGGACATAAATGCTTCCCAATAGAGAATTTAACAACGAATTCCATATATCTGATGTTCACTTTCGTTAATCTAGTGTTTGATTTGCGTTCAGCTTCACCTTCCCCGATGGCTCTCCCGCCGACGTGACCTTCGTCGCCGACGACGCTGGTTTCCGCGTGGAGTCCGACCTGCTGCCCACGCCCCACCCCCTCCCCGCCCACGCCATCGCCCAGATCGAGAAGGCTCGTCGGGAGGACGCAGCTGCTGCCGCTCTGAGCGGGCGTTACTCCGCCCCTCGGACTAGCTATGGATACCCTCAATAGGATCTTAAAATACAAATAGGATTTAAATGTATTGTGTAAATAAAAATGGAATAATAAAGCAAACAGTAATTTATCTATTTTCATTTGGAGTAAATTTTACTTCCTTTATGATATATTTGATTTGCTATTCATGTGCAATATCAAATGATGAAGAAATCCTTCGTATTCACATACGTCTACATTATCGGTGTAAAGAAGGGAAAGTGAATATATGATTGCGATTGCTCTAAACCACGCTATAGTTTTAGTTGGATAGGTAATTCAGGAGAAAACAATAAAAAGGAAAACTCACACACGTATCCATATATACTATATACATACACAGTAAAGGATACACACAAATAAAAAGAAAACGCACAGTAATTAAAAATAAATAAATAAATAAAAATCGGTACATTTCGAGCACTTCTAGAGTTCTTCTTCAGACGAATTAGAGGAAATGGATAAAATTCATTTATCGTCTATCTTGTTAAGTGAACTTTATCCCGTAAATGAATGAAACATGCATTGGATTCTGCGGCGTACAGATCACGTTTATGCTCATTGTTTAATTATCTTTGTTAGTTTCAAAAGCTCTACCGGTTTCGCCTATGTAAAATTTCGGGCAGTCCTTATAAGGAATCATGAAATAGAATATTGACACAGTCCTGTCGTGTGTTACAGGAATTATTATATAATTTCTGTTCCGCATATCAATGTGCCTGATATTGAACAAAAAATGAGGATATCCTAATTTCGAAAATGTTGAAAAAACGTAGATGCCCCAAGGAACATAACGGGATTAGAAAAAAATGAAAGTAATTAGCGGTGTGGGTTCGTTTTCGGTAATAATTAAGCGAGCCATTTACATTCAATTAAAGAACGTCGATAGTAGGTAATTTACCTGAATCTACCCAGTCTACTTTAAAATAGTAGGAGAAGAGGTTATTTAGTCAACGGGAAAAAGTCATAGAAATGCTACCTGTTCACTTGACGCACGGAAAAATATCAATATAACGAAACCAAATCGTGGCTGGAGGGAGGATAGACGGAGGGACTTCAGATTCAATCTCCTTGTATCAATTCGCAAGAACCGGGCTAAGGCTTCTTCCCTTCACAATACCATCAGTTGATTTGCTTTTGAATTATATATGTATGTATGTTTATATATCCATATATGTGTATACGAGTATATGTACGTGTGTGTGTGTGTGTGTGTGTGTGTATGTGTGTGTGTGTGTGTGTATATATATATATATATATATATAATATATATATATATATATATTATATATATATATATGTTTGTGTACGTTTGTGTGGAGAGCGAGTGAGAGCGGGAAAGAGCAGGAGGGGGAGAGGGGGGGGGGATACCGATTGATACAGAGAGATCGACAGAGAAATGTATTTCATGTGCATGCTGTGTGCTGTTTTCGAAGGGGTGTGTATGACCACAAACTAAGGTTGACGTTTCCTTAGTTGGATGCTTATTTGAATCCTTATTGACATTTGACACGATTAGGGTTGTCTATAAAGGTTGCAGGGTTTCTCTTTATAGAATTTCAAATAGATAAATTAACAGAATTTCCTTGATATATTGTAAAATAATAGAAAAAATGAAAGAAGCATTGAAAGGCGCACGAAGTGTGGAGTCTCACCTTGACAAAGCCAGGAAGTCCGTTAGGCAAATGGAGTCCACTGGTATATAACTGGAGCGGTGCCACACACACACAATAATCCGAACCTTTCGACATGTTCTCAGTAAGCTCCCAGACGATGCATATCTTTACTTGATGGATCTGTCGGATTTGGATTAAAAGTAGTTAAGCAACAAAAGTTCCTGAAATTGCTTTGTATTCTCTCCAGATGCTATACAATTTGACAATTCCGCAGATTTTAGTATGTGCTTTGGTGGCGGTGGTTGCCGCAGCCCCAGACCACTACGGACCACCTCAGACCGGCTTCTATGGCTTTCCCAGTCCAGTCATTCCCATCCTGAAGGACGAGCGAGAGGGACCTGATGCGTCTGGAGTGTACAGCTTCGAGTTCGAGACCGGCAATGGCATCAAGCGAGAGGAACAAGGTGCCCCTCGAGGACCATCTGGCGCAGTGGCCATGCAAGGAGGATGGTCGTGAGTACAATGCATGACTGCTTTTGGT